CCTGGCAACAGAGCTGACTCTGTCTTAAAAAAAAAAGAAACAAAAAAAAAAAAAAAGCCTTTTCTGCATCTATTGAGATAATCATGTGGTTCTGTCCTTGGGTTCTGTTTACAGTGCTGAATTACTGTTTATTGATTTGCGAAATGTTGAACCAGCCTTGCATCCCAGGGATGAAGCCCCACTTGATCATGGTGGATAACCTTTTTTGACGAGTTGATGGGTGCAGCACACCAACATGGCACAAGTATACATATGTAACAAACCTGCACGTTATGCACATGTACTCTACAACTTAAAGTATAATAATAATAAATAAATTTAAAAACAAAGTATAAAGTAAAAATTATATTATGCTAAGGTTATTTTATTATTGAAGAAAGAAAACTATTTTTTAATACATTGAGTGTAGCCTAAGTGTACAGCGTGTATGAAGTCTGCAATAGGGTACAGTAATGTCCTAGGCATTCACATTCAATCACTGTTCACTCACTGACTCACCCATTGCAACTTCTAGTCCTACAAGTTCCATTCATGGTAAGCTCCCTATACAGGTGTTACATTTTTTATCTTTTATATCATATTTTTACTGTATCTCTTCTATGTTTAGAAATGCTTATATACCCAAGTAGTTATGATATGATTATGTTACAGCTTCCTGCAGTGTTGAGTACAGTGACATGCTGTACAGGTTTGTAGCGTAGGATCACTAACCATCTAGGTTTCTGGAAAGGTACATTTCTCAAAACATATCCCCGTTGTTAATTGACACAGAACTACATAAGCTGTCTTCAAGAAAAGCACTTTTAATTCAAAGACACAAGTAGTTACAAAGTAAAAGAATGGGGAAAATACAGCTGGCTCATGCCTGTAATCCCCGCATTTTGGGAGGCCCAGGTGGAGGGATCGCTTGAAGTCGGGAGTTCGAGACTAGCCTAGCCAACATGGTGAAACCCCAACTCTACTAAAAATACAAAAATTAGCTAGTCATGGTGCTGCACACCTGTAATCCCCACTACTCAGGAGGCTGCAGCAAGAGAATCGCTTGAACCTGGGAGGCGGAGGTTGCAGTGAGCCGAGATTGCACCGGTGCACTCCAGCCTGGCGACAGAGAGAGACTCTGCCAAAAAAAAAAAAAAGAACAGAGAAAATATATATAAATCATACAAAATGTTACCATAAGGAAGTTGAAGTATCTATGTTAATATCAGAAAAAAAATAGAATTTAAAACAAGAAATATTGCTAGGGATAAATAGCAACAACATTTCATAATGATAAATTATGTAAGATAAAGATAAAACAATTGTAAAGACATAGACATTGAATAACACATACGTGCAGCAAACACTGACAGAATGGAAAGGAGAAATGGGCAATTTAGTAATTGTAATCCGAAATTTCAAGTCCCTTCTCTAAGCAACTAATAGAATGGCTAGACATAAAATGAATAAGGATATATAAATCTTGCACAACTGTCAACCAACTTTACCCAAGTAACATATAGAATGCTCCCACTCAACAGCAGGGTACATAATCCTTTCACGTCCACATGGAACATTTTCCAGGATAGAGTCCCAGCTGGATCACAAAACTAGTCTCAATAAACTTAAAAGGACTGAAGTCATCTGAAGTATGTCCTCCAACCCTGATGGAACTAAATTGAAAATTAACAACAGAAAGAAATTTGGTAAACCCTCAAACATTTGAAAAACATACTTCTGAATAACCATGGAGGTCGAGAGTGGTGGCTCACGCCTGTAATACCAACAATTTGGGAGGCTGAGGCGGGTAGATTACCTGAGGTCAGGAGCTCAAGACCAGCCTGGCTAACATGGCGAAACCCCATATCTACTAAAAATACAAAAATTAGCCGGCATGGTGGCACGCACCTGTAGTTGCAGCTACTTAGGAGGCTGAGGCAGGAGAATTACTTAAACCTGGGAGGCAGAGGTTGCAGTGAGTTGAGATCGAGCCACTGCACTCCAGCCTGGGTGACAGAGTGAGACTCCATCTGTGAAACCCCATATCTACTAAAAACACAAAAATTAGCCGGCATGGTGGCACGCGCCTGTAGTCGCAGCTACTCAGGTGGCTGAGGCAGAAGAATCGCTTGAACCTGGGAGGTGGATGTTGCAGTGAGCCGAGATCGTGCCATTGCACTCCTGCCTAGGCGACAAGAGCAAAACGCCATCCCCTGAAAAAATAAAATAATAAATAAATAAATCATTGAATAACCACGGGTCAAAGAAAAAATCATAAGGTTAATTAGAAAATATTTCAAACTGAATGAACTGAAAACCACTGAAATTTATGAGGGTAGCTAATGCAAGGCCTGGAAGAAAGTTTACAGCTTTAAATGCTTAAATTAGAAGGAAGAAAGATCTATAATCCATAATCTAATCTTTCACTTCAAAAAGGTAGAAAAAGAAGGGCAAAATATACCCAAAGTAAATGGAAGGAAACAATAGCGATCAAAATACAAATCAATAAAATAAAAACAATAAGGAAGAAAGTCAAAAGCTGATTATTTGAAAAGAGAAATATAATTGATAAAATTTTTGCTAGACTGACAAAGAAGAAAAGAAATAAGACATACATTACCAAAATCAGGAATGAAAAGAGAATGTAACTACCGACCCTACAGAAAGAATTTTAAGGGAATATTATGAACCACTTTATGCCAGCAAATTATACAACGTTGATGAAATGTATAAATTCCAAGAAAGGCAAAAATTACCAAAACTGACTCAATCAGAAATTTAAAATCTGAAGAGACTGATAACAAATAAGAAATTGAATTAGAAACTTAAAATCTTCCCACCAAAAAAAAAAAAAAAAAAAAAAAGTCTAGGCCCAGATGACTTTACTGGTAAATCGTATCCAATTTTTAAGGACGGAATCTTGCCAATCCTATACAAACTCTTCAGAAAATCGCTGTACTTGTTTATGAGGGCTGACATAACAAAGTACCGCACTATGTGGCTTAAACTATGGAAATTTATTGTCTCACAGTTCTAGAGGCTACAAGTCCAAGACCAAGGTGTGGGTAGGCTGGTTCCTTCCAGGGACTGTGAGGGAAGGGTCTGTTCCAGGCCTCTTTCATTGGCTTGCAGAGTCATCTTCTGCCTGTCTTCACATTGTCTTCCCTCTGTGTCCGTGTCCAAATTTCCCCTTCTTACAAGCACACCGGTTGTATCGGATTGGGACCTACCCTAAAGACCTCATTTTAACTTGATTACTTCTATAAAAACCTTATCCCCAAATAAGAGCACATTCAGAGGCTCTGGCGCTTAGCATTTTAACATCTACATTTGGGGATGAGGGCACAATTCAACCCATACCAATATGTGAGGAGGAAATATTTCTCAACTCATTTGACGAGACCAATGTCGTTACCCAGATACCAACACAATACAAAGATATCGGAAGTAGGAAAAGCTATCGACTAAAATCTCGCATAAAAATAGATGCAAAACCTCTTAAAAAATAATACTAGCAAACTGAATATATGAACATATATTTTTAAGTACACACCATGACAAAGTGGGAATTACCTCAGGAAAGTAAGGTTAGATTAGCATCTGAAAATATATTAATATTGCATACAATATTAATAGAATAAAGAATAAAAATCACATGATCATCTCAATAGATACAGGAAAATCATTTGACAAAATCCATGATAAAATAAAAAGAACTTTCCACAAAGTAGAAAAAAGCAGAACTTCTTCAACCTTATAAAGAGCTTTTCTCAAGAAAGCTATACCTGTGTGATATTTGATGGTGAAAGACCCAAGAGATCAGAAACAAGACAAGCATGTCCATTCTTAACACTTCTATTGAAAATTTTGCTGAAAGTTACAGCCAGGAATAGGCCAGAAAAAAATAATAGAAGGCATCCAGACTGGGAAAAAAAGAAATAAAACTGTCCTTAATCACAGAAGATGTGTGTAGAAAATCTGGTGGAATCTATTTTTAAAAACCTGCTAGAGCTAATGAGTAAGGTTAGAAAGGTTGCAGGATATAAAACCAATATAAAAAATCAATTGTATTTTTATATGCTAGCAATGAACAATCTAAAATGATATTAAGGAAAAAAATTGCACTCACAATACAATAAAAAAATAATAAAACACTTGGGAAAATATTAACAATAGAAGTGTAAGACTCATACACTGAGAACTTTGAAACAATATTTTGTGAAGGTACAAATAAATGGAGAAACGTGTTATGTTCCTGGGTTGGAAAACTCAGTGTTGTTGAGATGGCAATTCTAACCAAATTTATCTACAAATTCAAATGCAATCCCTACCAAAATTCCAGTTAGGATTGTGTAGAAATTAGCAAGTTGATTTCAAAATATATATTAAGATGCAAAGGATCTAGACTAGCCAATGTAAGTTTCAAAAAACTCCACAATTCATATTACTTCATTTCAAAATTTACTGTAAACCTAGAGTAATCAATTCAGGGTGGTATTGGCATAAGGACAGACATGTTGGTGAATGGAACAGAATAGAGAGTACAAAAATAAACCTTTACATTTATGGACAATTGATTTTTGACAAGGGTACAAAGGCAATACCTGTAGAAAAGACAGGTTTTTTTTTTTCAACAGATAATGTTTATTAATATGGTTTGGCTGTGTCCCCACACAAATTTCATCTTGAATTATAGCTTTCATAATCCCCATGTGTCATGGGAGGGACCCGGTGGGAGGTAATTTAATCATGGGGCGGTTACCCTCATGCTGATCTCATGATAGTGAGTGAGTTCTCATGAGATTTGGTGGTTTTATAAGGGCCCTTTCCCCCTTGTGCTCTGCGCTTCTCCTTGCTGCCACCATGTGAAGAAGGACGTGTTTGCTTCCCCTTCTACCATGATTGTAAGTTTCCTGAGGCCTCCCCAGCCATGCTGAACTGTGAGTAAATTAAATCTCTTTCCATTATAAATTACCTAATCTTGGGTATGTCTTTATTAGCAGCGTGAGAATGGACTAATATACTTATAGAATTGAATTGCTATAAAATAAATGACTTTAGGCCTTTATCTCACACCATACAGAAACTTATTATTTTTTGCCTTTTTTATTTGTATTTTTATTTACTATTTTTTATTTCAATAGTTGAAATTTTCAATAGTTGCATGGATGAATTGTATAGTGATGAAGTCTGAGATTTTAGTGCAACTGTCACCTGTTGTACCCAATACATAGCTTTTTATCACTTGCCCTCCCTTCTACCCTCCCGCTTCTGAGTCTTCAGAGTCCATTATATCACTCTGTATGCCTTTGCATACCCATAGCTTAGCTCCCACTTGTAAGTGAGAACATGCAATATTTGGCTTTTTATTCCTGAGTTACTTCATCAAAGTTGCTGCAGAAGACATTATTTGATTCTTGTTTATGGCTGAGTAGTATTCATGGTGTATATATTCCTTATTTTCCTTATCCACTTATTGGTCGATGAGCACTTAGGTTAGTTCCTTATCTTTGCAGTTGTGAATTGTGCTGCAATGAATATACGCACGCAGGTGTCTTTTTTATAATGACTCCTTTGGGTAGATACTCAGAAGTGGGATCGTTGGATCGAAAGGTAGCTCTACTTTCAGTTTTTTAAGAAATCTCCATACTGTTTTCCATAGAGGTTGTACTAATTTACATTCCCACCAGCAGAGATACACAAAAATTAATTTAAATGGACCATAAGCTTCAATGTAAGAACTAAAACTATAAAACTTCTTTAAAAGATAGAAGAAAAATCTTTGTGACCTTGAATTAGGCAAAAAACGATTTTTAGATTTGACATCAAAAATATGATTCATAAAAAATATATTGATATATTATACTTCAACAAAATTTAAAACTTTAATTCTTCAAAAGATAGCATTAAGAAAGTAAACAGATAAACCATACACTGGGAGAAAATATTTGCAAATTATTTATTTGATCAAGGATTTATATACAGATAATGCAAAGAATTTGTACAGCTCAATAGTTTGAAGCTAATTAAAAATGTGTAAAGGATTTTCATAGACATATCACCT